CCTGCTTCTATAAGTTCGTTAAGCTTAACCAAGCCTAACTGTTTAGTGATCCCTATGATTTTACAACCAACAAATTTTTTACTTCTACTGCCATCTATAAGCTATGAAAAGAATTAAGATACCGACAGTTGGTAACAAAAACTTCTGTAAAATCGTGTTTTTTCATAGATGATATAGCAGATACATATCGGTAAAGCAGGTAATATAATGATAATTTACCATTATACAAAAATTAACATTAATTTACTGAAATATAACATATGATTTAAAAAATATCTACAAATAAGCTTGTAAAATTATATTTTATATTGCTGATACTTTTATTTTATTACTGCGATATCACAAAGATTAATAAAATAACTTTTTTAATTGTAATAGAAAACTGCTTTATCATAAATATAATATCTCGAGCATTTTAGATACGTTTACTTTGTTTATATATCAAGGAAAGAGAGGTTCTTTAAAAAAGAGAGGTTCATTAAAAAGTTATAACAAATCAATGTCCTTTCTCATTTGATCATAAAAATGCACTCATAATTATAATAGGAATTCTTATAACCTTATATACGTGCGTGTGTGCGTGCGTGCGTGCGTGTGTGCGTGCGTGCGTGTGTGTGTGTGTGTGTGTGTGTGTGTGTGTGTGTGTGTGTAAAAAATTAGAACAAAATTAAAATATACAAATTTTGTTAAAATATATATTTTTAGATTATGATGTTATAAGTTGTTCGGAAAATTTAATTTAATTTCAAAGTAATTTCTTTTCTTTCGTTCTCCAGTCTTTTTCGTATTCCAAATTCGCTGTAAATGTAAAACGTCCCATTTTCCAAGTATAATTGTATTTTTTCTTCACTGCCCTTTCGCGTTGCTGCAAAAACAGAGTGAAAAGGGAGATAGGGGAAAAGTGCACTTGATTCCTTTTAAACAATATCAACTCGTTAAGGACGCACCGTCGTCGGTGTCTGTCAGTCGCAGCGATGCCAGTAACATTTCGAACAAAGCGCAATTAATGTCGACTCCGGCTCCGATTCTATCGCTATTATACCAAAGACAAAGTGTTAACCGGTGTTAAACACCGCGTCTAAACGTGTTTCCGCGCACAAAGCGTTTCAACGATTCCGACGAAATCGTGCGAGCTCATTGTATGAGAGACACAAACGCGAGATTAAAGACTATTTCATTGTAATTAAAATTAACAGAATTGTCTCCAATGTTTTCAAAATGGTTATTCACGTATGTATATATTAGAAACAATGGTTATCCACGCATATATATAGTAACAGTTATCATATTTTCCAAGTATATTCATCAAAATTTACACATTAGATATATGATATCTGACGGAATTATCATGGAAAAAAATTTAATTTTTAAAGAATCAATTTAATTGTAAGTATTTACGATCTTTAATCTATAGGAGATTTTTAAAAAGTACAAAAAATATAATATATTTCTTAAAAATATAATAATCCATTTCTTCGTATTTATAATATTGCATATCCTTTCAAATCATTTGCAGAGAGATTAGATAAGAATTTCATTAAAAATAAAGAAATATTAGAATAAAGAACAATATATAATAGTTTTAGCACTTTTATTTGGTATAAATAAATGATCCTAATTTATTTATCATTAAAGATCTACTTTTGCTTAAAGTTTCTCTTAAGTTTTTTTCATGCTGGCTACGTTTACATCGTGCGCTTAATCTGCAATTTGTACAATGAGTGTCTTTGTTTATTCTATAGATTAAACAAAAATACATATCGTATAGATCACGTGTAAAATAATCAATTGTTACATTAAAATTTAAAAATATTTTTATACAATAAAAAAATTGATTCCACTTTCTACATAAATTATTTTTTTCTAAGAAAATTAATATATTGCAACAATTTAAAATGCTCGAATTAATTGTTGCATAATAGAATAATTACCTATATAAGCTCACGCTTTTTTAATAGAACATTAACCCTAGCAAGTTATTCATGGGTTCAACGTATCCTATGCGATTTTTTACATTGCTGTAACTTTTTTATAATATAATTTGAAGACTCGGATTGAGGTTGAAAAAAAATTTTAACTGTCCATAGATATGATAAGCCTTGCAAGAATATTTTTTTTGCGTTATTCTCGATGTGAAAATACACGAAAGATTAAAGAGAGTACTTAGGACCCAATGTAACCAACTTGTAAATTTTCGGCATTCTAGGCTCCTTCATTTTTTATTAATGTATACATTTATTAAATTTCGGATAGTATAAAAATAAATACATGAAAATGTAGAATTAAAAAGAATTATTTCAATATAATAAATAATAGAAATTTTATAATTTCTGCCAGTCTTTGGAGATCGCTCAGAACGGATATTGCTTTAAAGCGAGTATTATATCATCCTATAAATTAAATCCTAATAAATTATACTATAATAATACTATAATAATATTAATACATATATAATCCTTTATTTATCATTTTATATTGTTTAAATAATAAAATTTATTACCTGTAAACTTATAATTTTTTTGCAATTTTTTTTTTAATGTCGATTTTTGATAGTTCAAATAATTATACTTTTTTAAGCGATTCATATCTATTTTTTTTTTTTTGATAGTCCAAAGGGTCAACTAAAAAAATTCTACGGGTTTTTGCTTGAATATTAAAATTTGAGAATTTTTTATCCAAAGTAGTCATTTTTGTGAATTTTCCCAATAAAATTTCTTTGAAGCATTGTAATTAATTGAAAATAAAATATTATTTATTTGATTCATTTGATTTATTTGTTTTCTTTATCTGACTTCGAGGTATAAATTTCACACATTTTGAGCTAAAAAATATGTAATCAGAATATCGTTCAGCAAAGTTGCAGGGTTTCACAAAGCCTGGTGTGATCGGAAAGGTAACCAAAAATAACAATGACTTACTAGGATTAAAGAGATTGCAAAGCAAATGTAATATATTAAGAATTATTTGAAAAAAATTACAGATTATTCTAAATTAAAAATAATACAAAAAAATTAGAAGCAATCTGGGTCAGAAGTTATTTCAATAAAAAGTAACATTTTTTAAAATTTGTATTCAAATAAAAATATATGAAAATATATTACAAAATAATGGTAAAAACCTCAATTTTTTTATATAAGTATTTTATGAATTCAAGAATATTTATATAAAATTACATTGAGATGCAAATGTTAGTTGTTCAGTAAATAAGCAAAATATTTATTTATTATAAACTAATTGGTGTATCTCAATAAAACTTTGCATAAGTTATTCTTAATATTTAAAAGTACATATAGAAAAAAAATTTAGATTTTCATTATCATTAAAAAAATTTTTGTTTCTTTCCTTACATTTTATCTTTTTTATTTACATTTTATCTTATAAACCACATTAATGTACATTATTTGTGAAAGTTTAGCTTTATGTATTCTAATGAAATTATTCAATTTGTTAATATATGTTAACTTTATTAATATTCTTTAAAAAATTTTTGTCAGAAATACCAGAAATTAATGATACTGTAAAAAATAACTGTTTTCTTGTTATTTTTGTATTGTTCTATTTCATTATTGCTCCCGCGCTTATTTCATAAGTTAGATTTTTTGTGCAATCTTTTTTTGATGGTGGAGAAGATCAAATGTAATGGGTAACCATTGCTTAATAGTATTTAAATAATTTTATTAAAATTCTTTGTATGAAAAGAAGGATGTGACAAAAAGAGCACTCTATGGATTAAACTTACTATAACTCTAATCTTCAACACAGAGGATGTTGTGAATAATAGATGAGCATCTAAAAGACGTAAAGTAAGTTTCTGATACCAATCATAAATGACAGTTATTGTGCTTCATCAAAGTTACATCCAGAAAATTCAATCTATCACCTCCCTCCTTCAATATGAATATAAATTGAAGATATAACTCTTAAATACGAGAAAGATCATTAATATGTGTCTTGTTAATTGCAAGTACAATCGTCTACATAATGTATATAAAATGAAAGCTCTATTGTCAATTTACTAAAAGAAACTAATTCTAAATCTTGTAAGACTATGTCTGACATTATGAGGGATAACGGAATCTATGAATACTCCCAAAGTTTATCTGTAAAAATTTATTGTTGAAGATAAAAAATGTTGAATCAAGAATTAGCTGTATGGTGTCAAAAATCTTTGTTAGTCAAACAAGTATTAATCTGTATCAGATGTCTGTTGATTCCGTCCATGATTAAATTTACTGGTATATTTGTAAACAGAGAAACTACATCTAACGAAAAGAAATGTATTGTCATAAGAAATTTTTTTAAACTATTTATATTCTTAGTGAGTAGAAAAAATATTCCCAATAGAACTTTTAGCCGGAGATAAACTTTTGTTCAAAATTTTGTGTAAGAATATTGCCAAATATTCTTATATAATGGGTTAATCGATGGAGAAAATTATGATGCATAACGGATAGTTAATTTTAAAAACATCGTATGCCCGCGATAAAATTGGATTTGTACATATGTAGATATTTGTAATTAGCTTCACTTATCATTTCATTGCGTTTTCATCTTTTCAATATCTCTTCAAACTCGTGATTAGCCTATTTACCGAGTTACGTGCAATTTGTATATATTGTATCGCGATCATTGAGCATCAATTCCATCTTTAAAAACGCAATCTGATTTATTCATTGCAACTATATTGCCTTTGTCCACATATGTAAATAACTAATAATATATAAATAATTAATATATGTTATATTAATATATGTGTTTTTATATCCTGACCTCCTTAAAGAAAAAATTCAGAAAAATGTAAACCTATCATCATATAAATGCTAAAAGTTTAGCAAGAAAGTCGACGTATCATTCAAGATATCGCGGAAAACGGTAATGTAAAATTCAATACCAATCGGACGGCAGCTCGACGTGAAAAATATATCGGTGCTGTTCATGGAAACGAGATCATCGCGAGACAACTACATTTCGTCATATTAAGATCGATCAGCGGTACTCACCTATCGGAGATGCGGTGTTAGCTTCCCGAAGACTGACAGTTTCCGGTTCGATGGCTGCCTCATCCTCCTCGATTAGCGGTGGCGGTGGTGCTAACGGTCGTGTTTCGTAGCCCCAATGTTGCCGAAAAGCACGTGCGCCGCCATCCAGGCGGACGCGTGGCAGCTCAACGAACATCGCATCGCCCAACTGAAAGTGAAAGATCGCCCGCCGCGTTAAATTGGAGTAATCGTCGGGAAGAGGAGATGAATGACAACAATCGTGCCGAGACCAATCACATACCGACGAATTTGATTTAAAAGAGCTTCGTTCCAAGCTGATTAAATGATTAATGAGAAAAAATCAGTCTAGTAAAAATACGCACAAAAACGTACCTAGTAACATACACGATAAAAAACATTGTATATTTGTAATGGAAACTGGTTCACTCATGTTCTTGTTAACAATTTGTGTTCGATCTTTTAACATATTTGACTGTTAATTTAACATAATTGTAATTATGTCATTTATCAACTTTGTGTTAAATTGATATTCAATATTTCTTACACTCTAAATCTGCAGCAATGAAAATTTTACTGCTAACAAAAGTGAGTAGCAAAGTCATTGCTTTAAATATGGATTTTCACTGCTTTGAAGTTAGTTTGTCTACTCTTATATTCGATTAATTAAAGGTGGTTTAAGTATTAGTTGATAATGCATTGCAAAATGCATTGAATGTTACTGCAAGGAGCGAATTTAACGATATAGCGCACCATTTGTCGCATGTTTACCGTTTGTTATGATCGTTATGAACGAGACGCATCTTGAGACACATATAACATAAATATAAGAGATAGAATAAAATAATTAAAAATAAGGTTAAAATTAAATAGATAGTGTGTTCTGTTCAAAATTTGTCTCCATAAACTTTGTTATCTAGATTTGAAATTGGACATTATTCTATCATTATTATTTTAATCTCCAAATTCACTTCTTTTTGGGAGTAAATTTTTCACTCTAATTATCGAATGGATTTTCCATTCTCTTGCAGTAAAATTCACTGGCAGCAACATTGGCGTAATTGCCACTAATGTCTGTATTGAAATTTCAATTTAATGCAGTCAAATTTCATTACTACAGATTTAGAGTGTAGTGCATTCTATAATAACACAATTTATGAATGTACAAATAAAAATGTATTTTAAAACGTAAATTCTAAAAGGAATGAATGAACTACGTGTTAATTTAGCATATCATAAATGTTAATTATACTAAAAAATATATTTCCATAGTTTGTTTATAAGCTGTATCCCAAAAGGTTTAAATGTTTGTGTTCATTTAACGTAAATGAATATATTAGTAAACAACACAGATATTATATAAAAGAATCACAAAAAAGGTAATGTTGACAATTTGTAAACAAACTACGGAAGTACATTTTTTAAATGTAATTAACATTTATTAAATTAACACGTATTTCATTCATAAGTCTTAAAATTTACGTTTTAAAACACATTATTTTTATATTACTTGTTTATTTACTCATACATTGTTATTTTGACACTAAGAACATTGCATATCCAATTTAACACAAAATCTTTACATAACATAATCATTATGTTAAATTAACACCCGAATATGTTAAAAAATACAAACAGTTAATAAGAATGTAAATGGACCACTTCCAACACAAATAAACAATTGTTTTTTACGTACAGATGAATGAGAGAATAAAGCGCACTTATTGTTATGATACGCAAATGATAAAAAAGTTTAATTTATAAATAGGTTATATTTAACTTGCAATCTTCGATTTTATTATATTTTAATTGGTTACGTCAAAAGATAATACAACAAGAATGTAGGACAAATTGAAATACATTGTTAATTAAATAGAACAACACAACTTTGATAAACTGTAACTGTTTAATGTTTTACTCTGAATTTAGTTTCTCCTTACTCATCTGCTCACGAAATACTAATTTGCACACAAAATGACACAAAATAATCATAAAGAATTAGTAAAAGAAAAAACTGTAACGCTTCCAATTAGTATTTTATTTTCGAAATTTCCAGTCACAGAAAGTATTTCTAAAAGTCAAAGTCTTAATTATAAGTCATAATTTAAAAACTGATAATTTTATAGAGAGGATCGCAATATCAATAAGATAGGTTGTGCCACATAAACATCTCGAGTTCGCGAGCCAGCCCTTTAAAAAGCAATGATAACGGTATGCTTGGAGGTTCATTAAAACATCGGCTTCTTAATTGGAGGCACTTGTACTTCGAACGATCATCTTATCGAAATGAGTGATGGTGTCTTGAACAAGCCTACCTTGTCATATCGTATATATATATATAT